CCAGGAAGGCCTGGGCTGTCACGTCACACTTGATGTTCTTCACGGCCACCTTCTGTCCCAAGTACTCGCCCTGCAGGACGGCTGGGGGCAGGGTGGGAGGTCAGGACCCGGCGGAGATACCAGGATGGACGTTGCGACCTCCCCGCTGCCCCCGTGCAACACAAGCTGCGGCTCCCAGGCCCCGGGACAGTCCTCCTCCGTCCCTGCAAGCGCCAGACCTTGAGAGAGCATCACCGGAGCCGAGGTCCACAGAACCCTTGCCCCCCGCGGCCCGGCCCAGTCTGGGCTTGCCAGGCGGTCAAGCTCAAGATGGTTTTGACATTTTTCTGTATTTGTTTTTGAGGTGGGGTCTTGCTCTGTTGCCCAGGCTGGAGTACAGTGGGGCAATCATAGCTCACTGCAGCCTCGACCTCCTGGACTTGAGCGATCCTCCCACCTCAGCCTCCCGAGTAGCTGGGACTGTAGGTGCGTGCCATCATGCCCGGCTCATTTTTGCATTTTTTGTAGACACAAAGTCTTGCTATGTTGCCCAGGCTGGTCTCAGACTCCTGGCCTTAAGTGATCCTCCCACCTCAGCCTCCCAAAATGCTGGGATGAGAGGTGTGAACCTCTGTACTCTATGTTTACATTTGTAAAGGGTTGGGGGACAAAAATGGAAAGATAAACACGATTTTACAATATTTTACTTTTTTTTTTGAGTTGGAGTCTCACTCTGTCGCCCAGACTGGAGCGCAGTGGCCGCTCCCGGCCACCGCAGCCTCGACCCACTGGGCTCCGGCGATCCTTCCGCCTCAGCCTTCCAAGTAGCTGGAACTACAGGTGCGCACTACCACGCCCGGCTAGTTTTTGATTTATTGTAGAGATGAGGTCTCACTGCCCAGGCAGGTCTCGAACCCGCAGGCTCAGGCCATCCACTCACCTCAGCCTCCCAAAGGCGCGGGATTACAGGCTGAGCCACCGAGCCCAGCTAATATTTTACTATTTTAGAATATGTTATAAAAAATTCAAATTTCTATGGCTGAGTTACCGCGGCCACACCCATTTGTTTACATATTATCTGGGGCGGCTTACCTGTGACTATGGCAAGGCTGAATAGCTGCGATGGCAACCATCTGGCCTTTTAGAGAGAAAGTCGAGCGACCCCTGATCTGAGCCCCAGAACCTTCCAGAATGATAGTTCCAGGGAAAGGCATTTCAAGCAGAGGAACCAGCAGTACAAGAGCCCAGAAGGGAGGAGTCACTGACACTTCCTGGGCCCTGCTTGAGCTAATTTACTCCCGATGACAGCTACCATTAGGCCCTGTTACAGAGAGGGAAACTGAGGCTCAAAGAGCAGGGTTGCTCGTCCTCAGCTGCGAGGCTGGTGGGTGGTTAAGTCTGGATTTGGATTCAACTCTGAAGCCTCAATATGAAGCCCATGCCTTTTTTTTTTTTTTTTTTTTGAGTTGGAGTCTCACTCTGTCGCCCAGACTGGAGGGCAGGGGCACGCTCCCGGCCACCACAACCTCGACCTGCTGGGCTCCGGCAATCCATCCGCCTCAGCCTTCCAAGTAGCCGGAATTACAGGTCCGCACTACCACGCCCGGTTAATTTTTTATGTATTGTAGAGACGAGGTCTCACCAAGTTGCCCGGGCGGGTCTCAAACCCATGGGCTAAGGCCATCCACTCGCCTCAGCCTCCCAAAGTGCTGGGATGACAGGTGAGCCTGACAGTCACCAAGCCTGGCCAACCTCTACCTTTCTTCAGCCCCTGACCCAGCTCCACTCACCTCCAAACTCCCCCTCTCCAATCTGGGCTCCCAGCGTCAAATGCTGCAGGTTCAGTAACCAGCCGGCTGTGGGGCAAGACCCAGTCAGAGGGGTGGTGGTCCCCAGCCCCTTGGGGCAGGAGACCAGATGATGGCCCCCGTGGGGCCCCAGCTGTGGACACACACTTGAGTGGGTGTTGCTCCCAGTGGTGCCGGGGCCCTGTCTCGGACACCCCACTCCTGGTACCAGTTACTGCTGTTGAAAGCGACAGGACCATCTCGCGCTGATGGGAGCAGGACAGCATTTGTGGGAGGTCTGAGGGTGCGAATGGGCAGAGCTGTGTCTTGGTTCAGACCTTCAGGCCCCAGGCCTGCTCTCCAGGAAGTCCTCGTGCCAGGAAACCCTTCGGGTCTCAGAGATAAGGGCTGCCTTGTCTTTTTTTTTTTTTTTGAGTTGGAGTCTCACTCCGTCGCCCAGACTGGAGTGCAGCGGC